AGAAAGAAAGAAAGAAAGAAAGAAAGAAAGAAAGAAAGAAAGAAAGAAAGAAAGAAAGAAAGAAAGAAAGAAAGAAAAGAAAGAAAGAAAGAAAGAAAGAAAGAAAGAAAGAAAGAAAGAAAGAAAGAAAGAAAGAAAGAAAGAAAGAAAAATTTATATGGTTTTTAATGTTGGCCTTTTTTGCTGGAGAGCATAGCTTTTCAAAAAAATTTAAGAATTAATACCTACTTTCCTTTGATGTTTGCCTAATAGGCTTATTACAAAATTTTATATTTACAGGACTTGTTACACTCTCACAGGAAAAGCAACTGGTACTTTCTGTAGACAATTTCTGGTGTTGTACATGCATTTTGCATGAAATTTCTAAAGACATTTTATGTTCAGTGTTCACAATCCTTCTATTCTCAAATGTATGGGCTCGGAACTGAATATTAGGAGCCACAAGGGGGAAAGAAAACTCACAGTGAATAAGAGACTGTCCTGGCCAGTGTATGACAACCAGGCCTCACAACTGTGGCAGTGTGAAGGCCTGGAAGAGAGTCGCAGAGTAGTAGAGGACAGTGGAAGGGACAGTCCCCCCTACAGGGCCATTCTGAGATGATTTTATGAAGGAGATGGTGCTTGAACTAAGCCCTGAAGAGTTTTATCAGTTGGTCACATGCAAATCAGTCCTGGGAAAAATGAACACAGTTGCCAGCAGGAGGAAGCCTGGAAATTAAACCTTCTTCATTGCACTCTCCTTCCACGTTTGCCAGCACACCCTATAATTTTGCCTCTTTTGCATCCGAATCTTTAAATCCAAATTCTATCCAGTATCATATTTTTTTTTCCTCTAAGACCAGTGCCTGTCATAATATACACCTTTGTGGTTGAAGGCTGACTCTTTAAGATCAATTCTGGAGAAAATGTCTCAGAATCGAGTATGTGCTTGTGAAGAGTGTAACAACAAATCGCATCCTGCCCATGTTCCGGAATCCACCTGTTCCTTTACCGTGGTTATGCCACAGCCACAGCACTGTACTGCTTATGCTGCTTCCAAAGATTGGCCTCTCTGGGTTTAATGACACTGTAATGGGACTTGTGTGCCAGCCTAAAGAGCATGCTCTTTATTCCATGGGCTGTGTGGAATAAGAGGTTTTTACAACAGAATTGCCACCAACACATACTTGTGTTATATAGGAACTTTTCTGGCAGCACTGAGGACTGTGGAATAAAATGTGAGGAGTGTGATGAAAGACCAGTTAAGAAACTAAGGCGTGGCTCAGGGTCCATAACTCAGTGGTTAGGGCACCAGCCACATGCACTGGAGCTGGTGGGTTCGAACCCAGCCTGGGCCAGCTACACAACAATGACAACAACAAAATAGCCAGGCACTGTGGTGGGCACCTGTACTCCCACTACTTGGGAGGCTGAGGCAAGAGAAGCACTTAAGCCCAAGAGTTTGAGGTTGCTGCAAGCTGAGATGCTATGGCACTCTACTGAGGGCAACACAGTAAGACTCTGTCTGAAAAAAAAAAAAGCAGCAGCAGCAGCTAAGGCACCAGATCAGCAAAAGATGATGGTGGTCTGCAGGGGAACGGGAAGAAACCAGAAAGGGTAAACTGAAAGGGAATTCACGAATCCTATAAAGGATACCTGAGGAGCGGTAGGATGGGGACTGTTAACTAAGAGGGGGAAAGTCTGGACTAGAGGTCTCTCAGTGACTTACAAGGGTGACCTCAGACAAACCCTTTAAATCTGCTGCCTCAGGGTCCTCAGAATATAGAACTAAAATAAGACCCCAGGGGGCTTGGCGCCCATAGCATGGTGGTTACGGTGCCAGCCACATGCACCAAGGCTTGTGGGTTTGAGCCTGGCATGGGCCAGCTAAACAACAATGACATCTGCAACAAGAAATAGCTGGGCACTGTGGCGGGCGCCTGTAGTCCCAGCTACCTGGGAGGCTGAGGCAAGAGAATCGCTTAAGTCCAAGAGTTGGAGGTTGCTGTGAG